TGTGCCCTGAAACGTGCAGCAGGTGGCTCATACGTATGGCTAATATCTGATAAATCACTTTTGTTGAGGAACAGAAGCAGATTGTCACTCATGCTTAGCTTTCCTTTCTTCATGCTTCCTCTCTAAGTTTGACTTCTAAAGGTCTGACGTGTCGCTCAGTAAGCGTTGACTTGCAGAATCTACGTGATGCGTGTTTTCCTTTTTGACGCTAAAGCAGATTCCGACGGAGAAGCGACAAAGTCTTTGTGGTTTAAATCAAGAATCCTCTTTGTCTGACGAGACGTGACAAGACGGAGTGAAAACGTGGTCGATTCCGAGACCAGACCGAGACTGTCAGAGAAGTGTTTTTGAGACCAAGCGGCATAAGATATTAAAACGCTGATGAAAAATATATCCGGCGTGATGAAAAATAAAAGGTGTAGACTACTTACTTTTTGCACTTGTAATATTTCATGAGCTACAAGTTCCAAACACCGGATGTCCCAAACCGAAGTATGACGAGCTCGGTGTTATTTAGACAAGTACGATATGCGCTAAATGTTTAAAATGATTGTAATTGTGTTGATGTTGTCGAGCTGCTCGTGATCACAGAAAACCTTACTTGTAGAAGTTGTGTTGGTTTGCTCCTGGTGACGTGTCTTGTGTTTATCCCTTCGTTCAGCCCTTAAGTTTAGCATCAAGGTCAAGGACCGGTGAGCGGTTTAAGACCGTGCCCTTCCTCCGAATTATGATATTTATTCTAAGATCAAGCTGTGGTGGAGCTGAATGTGCAGCTGAAAGAGGCCAGCTGGTACCGGAACCTCTCGCTAATACTTGATCTGTTTTAATCTGTGCCTCGCTCGACACCTTTCCCTCCGTTTTCCTTCCTCTGCCTTGAGAATGAATCGAGAGATTTAGAAAAATTTTTTAAAAGATGAATGATAGGCCACTTTTCTAAATAGTGGTGTTTTACCCAACTGTTGCCGGCCTTCTCCCTTTAAAATAAAACAAAAACATTCATAGAATTACTCATCTTTTATGAGAAATGACTCCTGGAAGTCAGATTTCCAGGATTGTGATCGGTACACTTTGGATCCTTGTGAGTGATTCCAGACAGCGAACAGAGCAACGATAAAAACATGTTTGGTGAAGCTTAATCACATCTACAGAGACAGTTACTGCGTCGAAAAGACTGAGAAATGCTGCCATTCTGCTTACAGCCTCAGAACATTCACCTGCGTCTAACATTAAACCATTAAACAACCCGCGGGACCGTCTCAGAACGCATCGTCCCTGTTTACCGCCTATTTTGTGAGGATAAAAATTCCACAGCCCACGTTGTTGTGTGCCGCAAAGGTCTAGAAAATCCAAAGTTTTCTACATCCCTCCAAGTGCTTCATGCTGCATGAGGCTCATAAATTAATTTAACAGATAGACATCCCCTCAATACTCATCCAGCCGCGGCAGAAAATGAATTTATTGTTAAATGGCGGTTCTGGTGAGCAGGATGTGAGCGAGGATTTAGTGTACCTTAAGGGAGTCCCTCTTTCCAAACTGAAAATATGCTTCTGAGATCTCATCTCATATTAATTTGTCATAGAGGAGGTAGTCGTGCTGTTGCTCCATGCTGCCCTCTGGCTAACTCTGAGCTATTCATCGTCTCGCACAGCTACAAGCCTTTCAATTCCTTCATTCTCCAAGTGCTTGTTCCACAATTTAACTTGGCTGGCGTTCCTCGGCGTCCTCCCCCTCCCTCGCACCTCGTTGTCCCTCTCTCCCTCCTGATCTTCCCCCCGCCCGTCGACTGTGACCTTACTACAATTATGCATCCTCCAGTGGGACAATTAAAACCGAGCTACCTTTCAGGATGGAGAGGAGGAGGAGGGGAGGGGAGAAAAGAGAGGAAATAATGATGCCAGATTTGTTCGTGCAGTCGCCTGCCTCCTTTGAACCGGCACCTCTTGAAGTTGAGGAAGCAACTGTTTTAACTGTTCCGACTGTGTTCCAATGCCACCGCTAGTCAAGGACGCGCTGCCCTTCAGCCGCATTGTCCAACGGAATAAAAAAAAAAAGGCTGTCTGTTTTTTCACTCATGTCCTCTGTCTGCCCCTCCTCTCCCTCTCCGACAGGTGCAAGTGCAATCTTCACGCCAACAGCTGCGTGTACGACAAAGAGAAGTTGAGCTGCGAGTGCGAACACAACACCACCGGACCCGACTGCGGTCGCTGTAAGAGGAACTACCAGGGCCGAGCGTGGAGCGCCGGCTCCTACCTGCCCATCCCCAAGGGCACGGCTAATATCTGTGAGTACAAACGCTCGCCGCCGACATGTCGGCTAATTAAGAGGCTCAGGAATTAGGATACACCTTATAGACAAAAAAACACACACGCTATGATTTGTTGGATTAATTAAACCTAAAATAAATGTAGCAAAAAACACTCACACAAATGATTAAAATCCCAATTAGCGGCGCTGGTCTGACTGTCACCACGTTTGGAGTGAGATGCTGTGACGTGTCGAAGTGACAGAATTAACAGAAATCGACAAAAGGAGGTGAAAAGGAAAGAGACAGACGTGTTCATTATGTGGAAACAAATCGCTGAAAATAGGTTTGTCTCCCCGTCCTGTAGTTATGTGTTGAGCAGGAACTGAGCCTTTTGCAAAAATCAAACTGAATCTGCAAAGAGAAGCAGCACAGTCAGTGAACACGGCAACGCTAAATGCTCAGTTTAGGGCTCGTACTGCAGCAATAAATGAGGAAACATACGAGAGAACTCTTCGCTCTACATTAGCAACTTGATATGCACGGAGCATTCTGCATTTCGACTTCTTCCGAGGCTCGGCAGGAGCGGCAGGATTATCTCGGAGTCCTCCTTCCTGACCCCATGTTAACACAAGTGTAAGAAAACACTGGCCCAAAAGCAGCAGCGGCAGCAGCAGATGCCCTGTGTCTGACTTCGCTCTTCGTTACCGTCCGCCTATCCTTTACAAAACACCCACAGCATCCAGTCGGTGCTTTGATGGAAAAGGTCACGCATGCTCACACCTCAGTGTGTGAGCAGACTGAGTGTGCAGCAGCAGCAGCAGCAGCAGCAGCAGCAGCGTCGGGGTTTCAGCTCTCGCTAGCTTTCAGTTTCAAGTTATTTCTTTTAAACTGTGTTCAACGGTGGAAGTGACTCGCGGACCTCATGAAATAAACACTGCTGTGGTGAATATTCTGGCTCAGTAGCACCAACAGAACAACGGATGAAGAGGTGGTGATGACAGAGAAGTGATTCCTGGATTTTTTTAACTTGTGGGGGAAATAAACTCCATATTATTGGTGTTTATTTGCCAATATCCCACAGGGAGCACTGGGTGGTTCCTTCTTGCTTTGTGATGCAAATACAGGCGACTCCACCCTGGACTGTTCTGAGAATCATCAGGGATCGTTTCATCCACAGATTGTTTTAATTTACGATGATGCGGGGAAACCGAAGCTCACAAAATGCAGTTCTTTTACTCCTACGACCTGATTGGCTCAGTTTACGCGGCATCTTCTCACGTCACGTACAAAAGGGATGTTTTAAATGAATCCATAACAGGTTAATATCTGTCACCCGGAGCGGCGTGGGCTATAATTTTCCTCCCGACTTCATGATCTTCATGTTTTACTGTGTGTGCTGATGTAGGGGCCCGAGCTTTACACCGATACACGGTATGGATTAGAGATCATAAATAATGCTGTCCGGCTACAGCTGCAATGCTAATGTAGAACAGAGGCAATTACTTACTCCTGCTTGAGATGAAGTAAGTGGGCCAGCCTCTTTAAGTCTTCTGGTAACGTTGCGTTATACGAGGAGATCTTCTTCGTGTTGATGTCGGCCTGTGTTTGATATCTGGCAAAAACATAAACACTGTTTTTTCTCTCTCTTTAATGTAACTGGTGTTTCTGTGTGTAGTTTATGCAGAGGATCAAATAGCCACAGTGCAGATCAAAAATGAAGCTAAAGTGAGAGATACGGTGGCGAGAATCACGACTTCAAATGAATATTCACGTTGCGCCAGATGAGCTGAAAAGGTGCTGATGTGTGGATGCGGTGTTCGCGGCTTGTCTCCGCTGCCCCCCAAGCAGCCAAAACACACTAAAAAAACATGGTGGCAGGTTTATTTGTAGTGCATGTATGAAAGGAAAGATTCATTCTGGGGGTAACAGGAAATAATGGTAGCATGACGCCCGTTGTTTGCGGCCCAACTTGCCTCGACAAGACGGACGAATGCGAAGCTTTCTACAAGCAAGACAAATGCGGAATACATTAGAATTTCCATTTCCCTAAACTCTTTGCTTTTTATTATTTATTTCGCTCCCCAGCAGAACGTCTGCGAACAAAGCAAGGACGCCGCTAGTTTAGTGTTACGGACGTGAGGAGCCGTGAGATGATCCGGGTCCGGAGACTTTGCAGCGCCGCCATCGCAGGGAGGGAAATGAATAAATGGATGACGGACCTGCGACTGGCTTTTTATGTTTAACATAAAAGCAGTCAGCATTATCCCGTTCCTGTTATCCTCTCCTCGCAAAGTCACATTAGCACGGGGCCTGATGGCGCTCCTCGCATGCATCAGCTGAAACCGGCAGCAGGAACTTATGCTGCCCATGAGTTCAAGTGCGCAGGTATTAATTGAAAAGCCAACTTTTATCCCGCCCCGTCTCCTTATTGCGTCCGCTGTGATTTCAGCTGGAGGACTCGCGGCCGCCGGCCACTGATGACTTATTCTCCCTCCCGGAGGATCGGCGTTATGAGACTTAGGGAGGGTTAGTGAAATGGCCGTTCCCAGAGCTCAGATTGACAGCACATTATTAAAAAAGGTGACACACACACACACACACAGGTGCTCATCTAGACCTGCCTCGCTCACACACACTCACACACACTCTCCCTTTGCCCTGCGAGTGATGAAAAACAGTCCTAGTATAAAGTGCATTATTATATTTTGTCTTGGAGGTGGAAAAATCCATAATGTAATAACGCTGTGAAAAATCTATAGGAATGCAAGGTTATCCCTCCTGAATAGAAAAGACCGCGCGCACGGCTGACAGAAAAATGCACCTTGTGCTGTTTTGCAATCTCCGAGACCCATTCAACACCGATTCCAAAAGTCTCCTTCTCCTCGCAATGTTTTCCCCCCAAACCCGGCGAGCATATGGCGGCTCTGCAGAGACAAATTTGTCAAAGATGAAAATTTAATTAAGATTTAATTTCTTTTTACTATGCCCATCAAGTCGTCTGATGCGATAAGGAGGTCGATGAATCATCATTGGGAGGGGGTGTGGATGGAGCCGGGCTGTGATGTGTCGTCGTACAATGGCGCCGCGTCGGGGAGCGCAGGAAGAAGAACGGGATTTAAAAAGTGATGAAGAAAGAAAAGGATGGCGGAGATAGAAGGAGGGGAAGTGGGCATCACTCTCTGTCACAGCTAACTCAGCCTTCTGGGGTGGCTCTGTCTCTCTCGCTTTCCCTCTCTCCGTCTATGTCTCTCGCCCCCACCACCACCCCGCCCAGCCTTCCCTCATCCTCACTCATTCTCGCTTCCTTCCTCTGTGGAGACAGAAGGAGAGGGATCAGTTTGAGAATTAACCATGGCAGTTCATTTCACTGTAGGGCTGAGGATGCAGAGGGAAATGGAAGCCGTCGGTGGAGGGAGGGCAGTGAGTGGTGGCCTCGGAAAAGTTGATTTCACATCGTAAAAATGTATCTTGAATGTTTTATTAAAGCCCAAATCCTTATTTGCACATTAAACGGACAACTTGATTTGGAAAAAATTTAGGGTTTTCTACCTTGTGTGTGTGTTTAGTGTGAAGGTATGAAAAGATTGTTGAACTTGCGTCACCTCCAGTTGACAGAACACAGACTGACCAGCAGTGAGAACGAATACTTCTTTAATTGTGTTTCAGCATCAGGACATGGTTAAATGTTCTGCTTTTGGATCTGCATCAAAACTATAAATGTGCATGTGTTGAGATCAAAACCCTGATGAGTTGTCTGTAAGTTTATAAGAATATGTCGACATCGTTGTGGGATAATCTGCTTTGCTTCAAATTGTTTACAACTGCTTGTGAAGCACAAGTCTGGTGATTTTTTATAGTTATCAACAAAAACTAAAGCTAATGATGACCTGAGCCCACCAGAGCCTCATGTGGCTTATTACCACTGTTGCCCAAAAACACATCAGTGAGCTGCACTGTTCCATGATTACTGCTGATTGTATGCGCTATATGTTAAACATGAAACCACCAGGCGCCACTACAGCTCACCTGGTTGAGCTGGTGTCTCATGTGCAGGGCTACAGTCCCCATGTGGAGGTCATGAGCTCGATTCCCGCTCATGACCCTTTCCCACATGTCCTCCCCACATTCTTCTCCCCTACTTTCCTGTTTCTCTCTCTGACTAAATCTATCCAACAAAGGCCAAAAAAAATAACTTTAAAAAAAACATGAAACCACCACACTCCCCCTCAAGTCGCCAAAACAACTCCAGCACAGTGGGATGTGGATGCTTGACCTCTGGGAGTGTCGGGTTTCTGTCGGTCGGACTTGTTCTGGTGCATCTCGTTGATGCTTTGGGAGTTGGGAGGCACCCTGAGCTCTTGGTCATGTTCCTCGAGCCAGTCCGTTATCTTGCTTGTGTAGGGGGGTCCTGCTGCCAAGAGGAGTTGCGCTCGGTGTGGTTTAGGCGGCTGCTACATGTCTAAATAACATCCACATGAATGCAGGACCCAAAGTGTGTTGTAACAAGATTACCAGCGATATACACCTACCTACACAGGTGTAGGTACAAAACAAATGAACCACTTAGTAATGTTTGTTTAAACTACAGTGGCAACCAAAAAAGGAAATTATCCAACCATAACCTATTTCTAAAGATCTTGCAGAAGCAGAGGGACAAAAAAAAGCTAAATAGTGGTGATTTACTTCACCGTAAGGATATAAACACGTCTATCTGACTCCAAAATCACTAAAAAAACACTAATAAAAACTAATAAATCCACCTGCAGACTACTTTCAGGTAATTAAGTCGTTATTTATCCCTTCATAGAAGCGTTCTTTCTTCATCCAGGCCAAATGGCACCAGTGAAAGACAAGCTGGTGGGAATGAAAGGAGAGGAGCCGCTGAAGGTCGTGACCTGCGTCTACGCGGTGACATAAGCGGCGGAGTTATATAAGGGGAGTGCGGCCTCGCTGCACGGTGACAGCCTTGTAAATGTTCAGTCGTTGAGTCGGATGATAGCTGTTATGACAGCCATAATAAGATATCCTACTCATCCCCTGCAGCCATTTCCTTTTTATGATGATCACACAGTTGTACATAATACGTCCTTTAGTCTGTTGAGGGACTAGCAGAGGAGTTATTTGTTGTGTGATGTTTTGACTGACACCACTAATTGAAAGTCTTTGGTGCCGGTGTCTAGACTTTTTAAATGGTCACAGTTAGGAAGTAGCTGCTTCGTTTTTCAGATTTTTTTTTTTGTGTGTGTGCAGATAATCGTCCGTCTTTTTCTTTTAATGATGCTCTACATTTCCCCCCCCCCAAAAAAATGAACTCTTCATTTGCTCCTTGTGTATCTTGATAAAATCACAGAATCAGCGCCGGATTAAGACGCGCTTGTTCAGATTTAGCCGGCACCGGAGTTCATGGATCTCCTCTGATCAAAGCGGTGGAAGGCGTGGACGTGCAGTGGATTCCTCCCACTGAACGTTTAGCATATCCCAGATTAATAATCAGCGCTCGTTCAGCAACATTTATGACTTAAAAACTTATTTTTGTTGTCGAGCTTCCAGAAGCTGCAGTCTGATCATCCTTGTCCAACTGCGAGGTGTTGATTGTGGGTAGTGGAAACACAACACACACGTATAACATCACACTTATTCACACACACACACACACACACACATATAGATTGCCTGATTGATCTTCCCTCTTGTGCAGAGGAAGTATTTCAATGGCAAATCCCGCAGGAACTGATAATGCCACAGAAGAATAAATCTCATTGTTTGTGCCTGAACACAGCGACTGTATGTGGGTCGTCATATATACGCAGATTTAACTTTAACTTATATAACAACCTGCCTTCAAAAATGTGCTCTTTCTCAAATATGTATTTATAGGCATTAAAACGGGTTTAATGAGCCCCGGGGATCAGAGTCCTAAGTAGCACATTAGTCTAATTACTCCACCAATGAGGCTCTATTAAAGTACTAATGTAATAACATTACACGTGTGCCCATACATGTGTTTAATTTGCATGAAAGTTCATGCTTGAGGTTTCTGGACACACACAAAAAAAGAATGCCCTTTTGTTATTCTTACATTTCACTTGAGTGTTGATCCTCTTTACATTTTAGGGTGAAACCGGCTGCTGTGTTCAATTAGCAGCATATGTTAATGCAGCAGCACACATCCCCTCCACCTCCATCACATACAACACCCACCCATTCACTCCTGTTTCCTAACTTATTTGAATTTTCATTTCACCCTCATTCTCTTTCTTTCTTCTCCTGTTTTTATTTTTTTTTTTGCATCTTCTCATTCTTCTCTTCTACCTTTTCCTTTCTCTTCTTCCTCGTCTGTCTGCTCTCGCACCATCTTTTGGTTTTGTTTCATGCATCCTCTCTCTTTCTCTCTCTCTCTCTTCACCACAACACCCCCAACCACCCCAGAGACCAGGCTTGTTTACTCTGTCTTTTCCACATCTCAGCTCTGTGCAGCTGTGACGGTAATCTTTCTTTCAAATATTTGTTTCTTCCATCTCCAGATTTTTTTTTTTCCTCTCTCTCTCTCTCTCTCTCTCTCTCTCGCCTCTTTCCCACATCGCTGCCACCACCGACGTACACCTCATTCCATCCCTGAAATCTTAAACTGTGCTTCTTCCAACTTGGCTCCTGGGCACTTTAAGACTTGCCACTTTCAATTCAAATCTACACTTTGAGACAGAGCAGGCGAAGCCGGGCACTCCGGCGAGAAAAAGCTGTAATTTTGCTCCTGAGGAATTCGATCAAGTCGCTCGCCGCGTGCTTGTGTTTTGGCAGCCTTTCCGCCGCTAACCAGTTAGCAATGCCTGTCACCATCAGCGGGCTCTGTATCACTAAAGAGCTCCAGATTATGATGGATTGCTGTAAAATGATGGAAGCCAGGGAAAGTAATTACCAACTTTGCCTGCAGTGGAAATTTGCAGATAAGCCCGGTTTCCAGGGAAGTCCAGGTAGCGCCAAAGCAAACAGGTGAGACGCGCTGAAGGTCAGAGCCGAATGGATACTGACAGAAACAACGTAATGAACCACACAGTCGTACCAGTACGCACAACGCGACTCCCACGGCGACAACTGAGCGCTGCTGACAGTGGAATCAGTGGTAGGACGCATATGGAAAATTGGACTAAGACGCCTGCTTTTCTGTGTTGCGTGCAGACACATTGAGGGCGAATAAGCGACAGATGAGCTTGTTTAGAGAGAAAATAGGATGTGTGCCAAAGATTTGAAGCCTGATTATCCACGGGAGAACATTTTATTATGGGTTTCTGATAATCCATTAGTGAGGTCTTGGATGGTTGACAGCATAACTGGAACCGATGCGCTAAAGAATAAACATCTCGGAGACTTCTCGCCGCTCCGCTCTGTGCAGCGAGCTTTATTGGAAGTCTGTCGATGCCCCGCGCGACTCGGGCTGTGCTGTATTTTAATGCCTCCATTTGTGTGCGTGTCGCATGGGCTGACCCCACGTGTGCACAGATCATGTTCGGTGAATCGCGCAGCGCCCGCCGAGATCATGTTCGCCGCCCAGCAGCTCGCAACCGTGATCCCTGCATAGCGCATAAAAATCAATGGCGCGCGCCGTCAACATAAGCAGCTCCTAATGCTCTTCCTGTGCGATAGGACGAAATTAGATTGCAGCCGTGCCCCGTAATGGCGCGGCCAGGCAGGTGAAAGGGATTGAAAATGACTGTGATTGAAAATTAATCGAATGACCCGACATGGGATCCCTGGATCTGCTGGAACCCCACCAGTTGTTCATAAAGCGGCGAGTAATTGCACCGGCAGGCCGCTGGTGTTTGAGATCAGGACCTGGAGCTGAAGGTTAGCTGAACCTGAACCCGACTAAGTGGTAAAGTGTAGTCTGACAAAGGACTCGCTCTTTTAATTGACGCTTACATACGTTGGATTTGCATGAGGGGAACGACACGACATGCTGCAGATGAATAGAAGGCGTCAGGTGTGCGCGGATGCTTCAACATCTGATCCGTGGCGCTTCAACATCATATTACTGTGATGGTTTAAAAACATGTAATTTAAGAGCACAGCCTTCCAGTAAATCAGCTGCTGTAATTTTGACATTGATCTGAAGGCGTTCCTGTGCAGCTGGTTTCAATGTTTTCTCTGCATGTTGTGAAGAATATCTCCGCTTAAACAGTTGTGCGATACACACTAATGGAAGTCTGCACCAGCTCTCTCTCTCTCTCTCGCTCCGATTTTATATTTCTATCCCTCTCCGTTTAATGTAGTGGGTCCCCTGCTAATCTTTCAGACTAGATGTAGATAGTGCTCGTGCATTTTTTTGCTCCGTCAGCTCCTTCATCAGACCCTTTTTAGCGCCGTACTGCTGTTTAGCGGCTACCGAGCTCGTCTCACATTCTCAGTTCTGGGAATAATGGAGTTCATGCAGATCGCGACGGTGTTAATGTTTGACATAGTAAAGCACAATTATTGCTATAGAAGCTGCATGTTGTTGCACAAATACGCACACACACACGACTGTCAAACCCTCCGTCGCCGCTACGCCTGAATGCATCGCCGAGCTTCCCGTTCATGCATAGCACAGCTGCAATTTACAGAAACAACAGGGACAGATTTGCCACTCAAAATTCTTAGTTATTTATGAAAAGATGGGGTTTGTTTTCTCATTTCTAGCTGGCGACTGTATAGAAATAAATTGGTTGAAATTATAACCGTGGCTATAGCTGCGGCAAAGCAAACAAACAAAAATATAGTTAAATGTGTTTCCTTTTATTCTTTATTTGACTCCTTTAAACGTCTAAACTCCAGACAGTTCCTGGGCACTTTTCTCTTTTTCCTCACTGCGATATGAAGTCCTGCACCTCCAGGGAAGCAGGACGACAACGACTAGAAGAAGAGAGAACTTAAACACGCAATATGATGCCATTGTAATGCTGGGAATCATTAAAAAATAAAACAAGGAGAGAAAGAAAAAAAGAAAATGTGACGATATTTCATTTGCTAACATTGATTAAAACATTTTTTAAAAATGAATTCAACGTGTACAAGATTGGCTTCAGGTTATAAAGTGTCCCCGGGCATTAACAGCACTGGAAAATAAATTGGACCTACTTATGTTTTTACATTTCTACTATTTCATTTAGCTTTTATCCAAAGTGATCTGAGAGGCAGGTACAGCACAAGGTAATTAAGCTTAAGCTTGTTAGAGCAGTTTATTTAAAATAAAATAAAATAAAAAAAGGTTAACGTCTAAAATTAATTTGTTTAAATGTCACGATTTCATCCTTACATCGGGTTAATGTGTCTGACAGAAACAACACGTCACGGATGAGTAGTTCAAGGACCATTAAGGAAAGCTGGAAATCTCACAGTTCTTTCTGTTTTGACAGCTTCTGGCTCTGATTAAAGGTGTAATTTTTGTGATTTCCTGAAGATAACATGCCTTTCAATGAAAACCTTGTAAAGCAGATTGCTATACTTTAACTACAAACATCAGCGTTAAGCATCAGGCTTCTGTTATCATAGTAAAGTCAAACACTGTGTCCTGAGCTTTCTATTTCCTGATGTTCGCCGTCCTGTGTGCTGCCCAATCAAACAGCAGTTGGCAATTAAGATGATTGTGATCGTGACTGTCCTTGCCCGGTCCTGCCCGTCCTCTGGTTCACATCTGTCCTGCCCCACGAGGTTTGACATCTATTACGCTCCGTCTCCATATGTCGGCGTAGCCTCCTGCACTTCACGGCTCTCTGACAGGTCACAGATTTGGCTCCTAAACACAACCTGCAGGCAGAGATCAGAGGAAACGTGATTGAATGACAGCGGTTTGATCAAAGTCCGCGTACACAAACGCAAACATGCGCGCTCTCAGGAAATCCTCATGTTTCCTCCGAGTGCTTGGAGATGCTCGGCTCCATCAGATGAAAGGCCCCACCGAAAAAAATCCTGCACATATGCCTCCTCAGCTTCCTCAGCTGTAGGTGTGATAGTGAGCAGATGATGTGGGCTAGAAAGGAAGAGAGAGGCCTTTTTATTTCATTTCTTCTTCCTCGGTTTAGAAGAAATGTGGGCGCATGTCTCCTATCGCCCAGCATGCTTCCCTTCCCGTAGCGAGGGGGTTGTTTGTTTTTGTGGGCAGGCTGCCTTATTGGGGGCAGGGGGTAGAGCGAATGGGAGGGAGGGCCTCCGTTCAAAGGGATGATTAGAAAAAGTGGAGTTGGCGTTCGGTGTCCTGAAAACAAATTCCTCTGAAGTCGAATGCTGACCAAAAATACACAGCCACTGTGTTCGCGTGCCTTTGAGGAATACAGATTCAAGCAGAGAGGAAAAAATGGCAAAGTGCTTTCTAGCGTTGTCATCCGACGACGCCGCCGCCGCGAACACGTGCGCCATTCACATCCACGGTGCTAATTAATACGCAAACCAAGATGTCGGCGGTCGGTTCAGATGGGCGGAATGACGGGCGTAAGAAGTCTGCGAACGTCTCAGTCTCCTCAGATCCTCGGCCAGCCAACGTCCTGGTGTGGGAGAGATCTGGTCACCATGGGGATGAGACAGACTGTATTATCTGCTCAGTGGCTGCCTGGCTCAAGAGATTGCTCGATGGAGGGACGGATAGGCAGGCAGCAGGGTAACACATGTCCTCCTTTGGTGTCAGAAGCAGAGTTTGCCATCTGATGCGATCGGATAGGCACGTGTGTGATTGTGTCCGCGCTCCTGTTGGAAATAGTCTAAACACCGATGAGCACTAATTACTAAAATATTACAGTCTGGCCGCCAGGAGTCACAAAAATGGGTGTTGGGACATTTTGGGGTGTGCACCTTTTAGGATTTAAAATTTTAAAAATACAATGTTTTGTGGGTGTTGTGATACCTGTTGCAATAAAAGTGGGAAATAACTGAGAATGAATTTGTGACTCCAGAAGGATTTAGGTGTTTTGTAAAGGGGCACATCTGCATCAAAAATAAAAGATAGTTTAAAAACAGCTGGAGAAAAAAAAAAGCAATTTGGAACCTTCCTCATGTGGTGTTGCACAGGCAACGACAAAGGAATAGTTTATTTTTTTTTATGCTTTGGATGGATTCAGATCTGGCTTTGCACTCATTTGAATGGTCAAACGAACTAGGTGTGTTGCTTCATGTAGCGACCGAACGCCGTCTTTCTGTAGCCAAAATATTTCCTTGCAGCTCCCTTTGCCCTTCTTTCAATCTGATGTTGTTTGTCAGCGCTCCTCACACATTCTGCTGTGCACATATGGAGTGTGTAGTGATTTTTATTTATTTTTTTGACAGAGACAGAACTGGGCAAGTCTTCTTTTTTGTATCAAGCAGGAAGCAAAGTTTTAGCAGGATGACCTAAGTCGCTTCTTGCAATGTTGATGCTGAAGCCACATGTTGTGCAGTTCCTTTAGCTGTGGCAGGGGGCAGCAGTGGCCTTTTCTTAACAACTGTGTCGACACTGCTAGCATTGCCACAGCCTTACAGCTCATCAAGATGAGTCTGGTAGGTCCATCAACTTTGAGGAAGTTTATTCAGGATTAACAGTGAACCTCAAGAAGAAATGTAAATGTTTTAAAGTGGATGTGCTGTCTTAATTGAAGTTGTTCTTCTTCTTCTCTTCCTCTCTTGCAGGTATTCCTAATAACATTGGTCCAGTTAGTAAGTAAACACTTACAGAGGAACTCTACGAGTGCTTGATGCTTTGCTTTGCCTATTGTTCCGCCCTTCATCCCCCAACTTGGTGCCAAGTGTTCATTTCTGATTCCTACAAAGAATCGCTCAACAATTCTTGACTAACCTGTTTTTTTTGGGGGGGTGGGGGAGGAAGAGGGGTCGCTGGGGGGTACATATAAGCAATACCTAGAGGCTATGTTGTCATGATGCGGGCATATTAATTTACTTTATCCAAACTCGACTGAACCAGATAACACTTGCCTGGCTCTGCATGCTGAATGTCATTTGTTTTTTTCCCCCTCTCTCCCATGCATTATAAATAAATGGCATCTAGACTTTATTAAAGTGCCAAGACCTCTCTGGCAGTATAATGTCACAGGAGGTCATTTTAATATAAGCCGCAAGCGCCTCGGCTGGTATTATCTTCGTCAACCAGTAGCCCCTCAGGAGGAGGAGAAAGAAGAGAGGTGCCATGTCTCAAGTTACCGCTGCCTGGAAGGCTGTGTGATGCAGGAACCGTAGGACTGTATTGAACAAGTCAAAGTGCATTCACAGCCGGGCTCAATTCTCCTTAATCTTTTTTTTTATTTTTTTTTTTATTGCCCTGTTCTTAGTGAGTATCCTTTATTCTCTGGGCAGCAGATTGATTAGTAAATAGCTCCCTCTCCCTCGCCTGATCGTGATCCTACATAGACTGGATGGTTAAAGAGACATGCCAGTTTATCATAAAGTAGC